GTTTTATATTCAGTGACGTGTACAGCTTCCAAATGTGTATATCTTAGAAACCAGTCAGGATGAATGTGAACTTCCTGTTCTTGCCTAGCAAATATTGTGTTTATACTAGTTTTCTGAGATATTACATGGATACGTTTCAAAAGGCTGAACTTTTACTTTTTTACTGTTTCCGTTCACTTTCGTTTTTGTTGCTCATATTGGATAACAAAACAAGGTGATGTTGAATTATATCACAAATCTTCGTCCAAAGCAAAAATAAGACGAAAGTAAGTTTTCAGATCACTGTTGAAGAACAAACAAACACATGTCATTTGCATTAGCAGAAGTAAGATGATGAAAGGAGGAAATACCCTAAAAGAAAACTGACATTTCTCATTATTCAACAGCTGCACTGAATTATAATTTGTGCACTGAACCATTGTAGCGACCTTGACTTGATTTATTCGGGCTATGATGTTTGCAGATGACACTGTGATCTATAGTGAGAGGGGGGAGCAGGTGAAAGAGAGTCTGGAGAGGTGGAGGTATGCATTAAAGAGAAGAGGAATGAAAGCCAGTAGAAGGTGGATGAGTTTACTATCATCCACACAACAGGTGAAGCAGAGAGTGCAAGCAGGGTGGAGTTGGTGAAGATAAGTGTCAAGGGTAATTTGTGACAAAAAGACAGCAGCAAGAGAGAAAGGGACGGTTTTAAGATCTCCTATGATGTGTGGTTTGGAGATGAAGCCACTGAGAAAAAGAGAGGAAGTAGAGCTTTCGGAACCAAAGTTTAAGATGCTCAGATTTTCAATGAGAGGGACAGAGGAACAAGGATGGACAGGAGTAGAAAAAAGGACAGAAATAGGTACTGCCAGAGGGGCAGCTCAGGTTGAAGTAAAAGAAGAGCACGGAGAATATTCGTGGATGCAGTGAAAGAGGACATCCAGAGGGATGACAGATGAGCATTTTTAGCCATTAGATTTTTGTTAATCTAATGGCCAAAAATAACAATAAAATGAATACACTCCTTTTAAGGGAGTTAACACAACACTGCGCCTGTTGTATTCGCAGACCAATAATGCCTAATCACCCCAGAATTTTATCCAGCTGTTATGAAATTTTACAGCAAGTCTTTAAATTCCCCAAATCTTCGAATTACGGTAAGGTTGTTACCACATTAGAATTTCACCTGCACATTACCTGCCAGAAGAGCTCACCATAATCAAATTATTCACATATCCACAGAAGAGTGAAAACTTTGTTTATGAGGTGATTTGTCTCTTTTTTGCCCTAATGAATTACACTCAGAGTAGTGAATGGAGGTGGAGAGAGTGAGTCTATAACAGCAGATGTAAAAAACAACAACAGTTGCACTGACTGGATTGTGTCAGGTGCTGTAATACCTGCCAAATGAGACCATAAACCTCCATAGTGCACACTGACACTTTATGATGTGCATCATAAACATGATTTAAATAATTAAATTAAAACAGAACCCTGCATCTAATGGCTTCTTCCCATTGCATGCACTCCTGTAATGCAGTGTTGGAAACATCACTGTAAACGAAACCCTGTGAGAGACTCAAGCCCATCAGTGTTTGTTTCTGTGTAGTCAGCTGTTTGTAATTGGTGATAGAGCAGAATGACTAGCAGTACTTTACTGCCTGAGCACAGTGCAGTAACCAGAGGCCTGTCCTCTCAGAGCTGCATTAATTCTGGAGCTGCTTACATGTTGGGAAACTCTGGAAAGGTCTTGTGACAGTTCTGGCATCACACAAAGAGCAAAACATAGCTTTAAACGCACAGAGAGCTGCTTATTTTTGTTTATTCTCACTGTGGGCTGAAGAATGAGGGAAAACAATAGCCCCGTGGATTAACAGATATAAATAAATACGTGGAAACAGGACGTTAATGATTAATACTCACATCCAGCTGTATTAGTGCCTTCAGTGGAAGACGTGATTCTATTTTACAGTGCTGACATTAGCGTGCTAAGCTAACTGGCTAGCTCAGCTGATCGCAGCCGGACTGTCAACAACAAACAGGCTGCCATGCACCCATTATCGGACAACCGCGACAGTTCAACGACACCAAGTTTACTTTATTCACCAACGCTTCTCATTGTAACGCTGCACATTTTGCTATAACGTAACATGGGCATTGCTTTTTGCCTCTAAATCTTTGGCCTTTAACGCCATCAGACACCGCCCCGAACTCCAATGAAAAATCAGATTTTACAGTTTCTGTGGATTTCAGCAGTTGCTTAATAATAATCACACATTTTATCAGCTTACATATACACAGACCAACGCTCACTTTGATCTGCTCTAGTTAACTTGTCAAAAATCACATTTTTGTTTTTCAGCACTAAAAAATATGCAGCTGAAGAAAATAACTACAGAATATAGTTGAGTTATTTTCTCAGAGTGACTGCATGCCAAAAATTAAATTAGCCCATTAAGAACAAAAAACAAAAACAAACCATCAGCCAACGAGTGTTGCTGTTTCAACAATAATCTAAAAACGCAAAATATTTTAAAGGACTTTGGTATATAATGAAAAACGGGGACTCTGAAAGCGATCCTTGCGGGGAAACCAGTGTCAGTGCTCCACTGTAATCAGCAGAAAAGCTTACCGAAAATCAGTGACAGCAACAGTCTGGGAAACTACACTAAAACGAAACTAGTCTTGTCCAGCGTGTCCGATAATTGAACTAGCCACATAGCCATCGACTTAAAAACGCCTCCTTGTAAGAAAAAAAATCCCGAAAACTAATATTTTTCGCCACAGCAGCACCAATGAGTGAGTCATGCTGAGGAAACATTAACAACGATTTTACGGTTGAAGCCGCGGGCTGTCAGCGGTGAACCGGCGGGGATTTTCGGTTAACACTTACCGTGTGGGACTGCAGATTCTGGCTGGCTTCGATCATCGCCGTCAGGGGCACTGTATCGTCTAGTAGCAGGCTGCCGGGGGCCGGCTTCTCCAGGAAAGACATCCTGGAGGGTTAGCGGTGGAAGTCCTATCTGATGTCAGTCTGTCAACGCGGGGAAGACGAACTGCGGAAACCCGAGAGAAGACAACCAGCGAGTTGATAGCCTAGCTTGGATATGCCGTAACCAGGAAGCGCAGCTCGGAGCAAACGTCACGCAGATTCCCCGTTTTAATTGGATATCGAGAAACCCCGTAAAGAAGCTTTGTCGCCATCTGCTGGTTTGGAGGAGAATGGTTTCTCAAACTATTTCCAAATGATAGTTGTTATTTTGTGTACTTAGAATTACTAACAAAATTTTGGTCAAAATTTATCTAAACAATTATGTTTGTTTTTTCTTTCATTTCTTCTTTAAGCATTTTTATTTGTTATTAGTCATATACACATTCATTCAACCAAATTTTTTTTTAATTTGCCTTTAAATTAGTCTAAAATGTCAAAAAATAAACAATGAATATCAGGTTGAAGGATAGAGATAAATCAAATAAATAAAGTAATGAAAATAAAATAAAAATCTACAGCCATCTGTGTGAAATAAACAATATTTAAACTAAACCATAAATGAAAGAAATGAAGTCAGACACATACAAAAAAAGATTTGTGCCTTTGAAAAATTATTTAATCAGATTTAACTATGACCACTTGATTAGAGTTTAGTTTAGAAATGCTTTAAATAGTGCTCTGCCAGTGTACACTCACTAGCCAGTTTTTAGGTACACGTTCAACTGGTTGTTAATATAATTATCTAATAAGCCAGGTAGGCATGTAGACATTGACAAGACAACCAGCTGAAGTTCAAACTGAGCCTCAGAATGAGTTGAAGATTTAAGTGACTGAAGGTGGCATGGTTGTTAGTGCCAGACAGGCTGGTGTTCTCACAAACTGGTGATCTGCTTGGACCTTTCTGTACAACCATCCAAGCAGCGTCTCAGTGGGTGAAAATGTCTAGTTGAAGTCAGAGGAGAATGGCCAGATTTAGCACAGAGCATCATTTCAGTCCAGCCAAGTGTTGTTGTTGACCATGTCAATGACTCTTCTAGGCTTCAGTTCTCAATGCTAACAGGGTATACCTAATGAAGTGGCCGCATAAGGTTCACTTGACTGAACAGTTCTCCAGCTTCACTTTGCAGTGCTCAAAAAGTGTTGTTTCACATGATTAATCATGAAACATGGAAATATTAACATGTCATTATGTTAAGTAAACATAATAAAAAAAAAAAAAACCTCACCCTTATAATCAGCTGAAGGAAATGAGTCAGTAAAAAGAAAAATAGAAGGATCACAGTATGGTGGAAGGAAAGAAAGTTGTGTGTGTGTGATGTGAGTGAACAGGTGGGTATAACAACACAAGCAGGTTTGAAAAATTCAAAGACATTTATTATTTTATCTCCACACAAAAGATTTCAAAACAATAAACAAAGCAGAGCTGGAAACAAATATTAGATGCTCTGCCTATAAACACGTTTTTCTTGCTTTGAGCAACAAACAATAATAAAGTCCCTCGTGTACAAAATACTATTTTGAGGAGACAGTGAGGGGTGACCACCACCTCCTCTCACTCCTTCTGCTGCTGCTCCTCAGGCAACATCACCATCACCTCACCCTCCATCACCACTTTATCCTTAACAGAGCACGTTACAGCAATGAAGGCGAATGACATCTTAATCTTGCGGACTTCGGCTTCGGCCAGCACCTCCTCTCCAACGTAGAGTGGTGCCGGGAAGCGGATCTCCTGGTACAAGAAGATGCAGCCTCGACCCGGCATCCTGGTGCCGAGCACGGCCGAGATCAGGCCGTTGATGAGGACGCCGTGCACGATAGGTGTCTCAAACGAAGTGGTGCTGGCGTACGCCGGATCCAGGTGGAGGGGGTTGGTGTCACCTGTCAGCTCAGCGAACGCCTCCACGTCACGGGAAGAGAACGCTTTGGTGAGGGAAGCTCGCTGGCCAATGTGGAGTGACCGGCTGAGGTGAGGAGCCGCTGCGATGGAAGACAGCGGTTTGTTAAAGACTCGCCTCCACAGGAAACTCATTGCGAAAAAAAGAAAGCTCCTCCGGCCTCAGTCGAGCTGCAGATCCCGACTGTTTCCCGTCAGTGCCAAGAGGAACGGAGACACCTGAACACAGCACAGAGCAACAGAAAGATGGTCTTTATAATGTCTTGGATTAAATATTCCTCAAACACAAATGATGCAACATTACTGCAACATTCCTTAAATTAAAGGAGACCTAACTGAAACCTTTGCAAAATGCACAACTCAAAAATCATCCTTATGAGGCTTGGTCACGATTTTCAGGCTTTAAATTACAAAAATGTTATTGTTTTATGGTTGGAAGCTTGTTTCTATAACAAAAACAAAACAAAAATAATTTTTGCCAATCATAAGTCAAAATTTTGGAGTTTTAATCTCAAAACTTCAACTTTACTGGAAGTTTGGCTCATTTTTACAGGAGTTTTAGTTAGTAAGTCAAAATTCTGAGATAATAATCCAAAGTTTTGACCTACAGAAAGAACAAAATGTTCGTTTTCCATAATGGGCCTCTAGGGGAGAGACAGCGATCTGAGCTGTGGTCCATGCATCTGTGAGCCCTTACAGAGCACCTTGAGAAACAGGATGTTTCTTTTAGCCACACCAACACAATCTTTGCTCACAACTGAAACTTAATTCCACACAGGATAATCCAGCATCAATTGCAGAAGCACCAGCACAAGAGGCTATAGTGCCAAGACATCTAAAAAGAGCGGCCTTGCTGATACAGTCCACGAGACGCTCTTAAGGGGAGATCAGCAACTCTAAATGAGTCCCTTTCTGAAACTTTTTCAGCACACCTTGTATATGAGACAGAAATATAAAAGGGCAACGTCCTATTTAAGTCAACGATGATGTTGCATGCCTCCCAGTCTCTTTCTCATGGTGGTGAACGCCGCATGATTGCAGCCTTGCTATTGTGCGTCACATGAATCCCTACTGATCACCTTATCTATTGTATCCTAATTTAATCTAACAACAGCAGCTACAAAAAGAACAGAGATAATCGCCTCAGAGGTCATGTGGTTCAGGAGGGGCGGTAAAGTATTCACAGCTGATAGTCTCAAGGTCGACACAGAGCTTTGATGCTCGGCACAAAAAACACACGAGACCCAACCATCAGAAACTCTGTGGAAGGTGACTGATTGGTTGTTCACAGACTTGTGGCTCAGAAGCTGAAAATTAGTAAAGAACTTCACTTTGTTCACCTTCATTTGCAAACAAGAGACTATCCTACAGATGTGTATATTACAGCATGTTATACTAGCACAAGAGAGGATAATGTGCATCAAATTAGCAGCTTTAATGATGACAATCTGGAGGAAAAAATGTTAAGATTTTCAGCAAGTTTGGTAGAGTTTATTTTTCTGCAAAATATGTAAACTCTATTTATTTGTCATCACGCGTCACGATTCTTTAGTCTATTAACTTCTCTAGGAGTGGATCACCTCTGAGAAAATTCTTATTATGAGAGAAGAGCGGGGATCAAATCTGCTGACCTGCAGGACTCTGAAGGCACAGGCCTTGTTCTGGTAGGAGCCGAGAAGAGTCAGGGAGCTCCACAGCTTCACCAAACTTCTGCAAACACACACAATAAAAGAAGAAAATGATACCAACAAGTGGTGGTTAGTCTGTTTCAGTTTCAGCTGTCCCCACCACCCCACCCAGCCCCCTTTCTCTCATGGTCGGTGGTCACCTGCTGTAAACACGGAGGAGAGCGGTCAGGGTGTCCTCATCGTACTTCAGGACGTCAAAGTTTAACGCTGCTCCCACCTGAGGAGTGAAAACAAAGTAAGAAAAGCTAAACTGCATCCCTCCATGCTACGCATGAATTAGGACCCTGGATTCAGATAGTTTGGACTATCCAGAACATCTCCCTTTCCTTTTCATCTGCTTCAATCTCACCCTCCACATTCAGCATCTTCCTCCTCTGCACACGTCCAAACCACCTCAGCCTTGTATCTAACTTTTGCTCTAAACTGAGCCTGAGCTGTCCCTCTGATCTACACTCATTTCTAATCCCACCCATTCTGGTCAATCCCAATAAAAATCTAAGCATATTCTGCTCTGCCTTCATTTTTTTTTTTTTTTTATTAGTGCAGTTTCACTCATGTACTTTTCATGTATTCTGTCTTGCTTCCATTCCTCTTCTCTCCAGCACATACCTCCACCTGCTCCCTACTCTAACTAGAGATCACAATTTCATCTGTGATCATCTTAGTACATGGAGACCCCTGGCTGACCTCAACTGTCAGTTTGACATTTACGTGAAGATACATTATCACAAAAAACCCAAAAACAAACAAAAACAAGACTGATCCAGATCACCACAAACAAACAGTCACCTCAAAGCTGGGATGAGCCCCACATCTGGTAGAATACACTATATTACCAGAAGTATTCACTCACCTGCCTTCACACGCTTATGAACTTGAGTGACATACCATTCTCGATCCATAGAGTTTAATATGACATCAGCCCACCCTGTGCAGGTATAACAGCTTCAACTCTTCTGGGAAAGCTTTCCGCAAGGCTTATAAGTATGTGTTTGTGGCGGGGTGTGGCCTGCGATGCCGCTGCAGGTGAGATGGACTCTACGGCATCTACAATCTACACCACTACAAGTAGTGGTGTACTTTACAGCACTCCACCCGATGCTTTGCTTGGCCTGGCTGCAGCTGCTTGGCTACGGACACCCATTTCACAAAGCTCTCTACGGACTGTTCTTTGATCTAATCTGAAGGCCACATGAAGTTTAGAGGTGTGTAGAGATTGACTCTGCAGAAAGTCGGCAAACTCTGCACACTAGGGCATAGAGACAGCATTTGCTGACCCCACTCTGTGATTTTACATAGAATACCATTTCATGCTGAGTTAGCGTTGTTCACGCTCGCTTCCACTTTGTTAATACCTCTAACAGTCGACTGTGGAATATTCCTTAGAGAAGAAATTTTACAAGTGGACTCGTTGCACGGGTGGGATCATATTACGGCATCACACTGGAATTCACTGAGCTCCTGAGAGCGACCCATTCTTTCACAAATGTTTGTAGAAGCAGTCTGTATGCCTGGGTCCTTGATTGTATACACCTGTGGCCAAGACAGTTACTGGAACAACTGAATTCATTGATTTGAATGGGCGAGTGAATACTTTTGGCAATATAGTGTATTTAATGCAAATTAATCCTCACATTATACAAAGGTTCTGAAACTCAGGAGAATAAAACAAGTAAAACAAATACAGAAGCTCCTTAACTCCTCACCGGTCTTCATGGTCTCACCTCTCCATACAGAGACTTCAGGCCTGTGATGATGAAGTACTTCAGTTCAACGGCACTTAGTCTGGTTGACTCATCCTCCAGCACACTAAAGACACAGAGGAAAAAATAAAGTGTGCGTGTGTGTACAAATATCAGCACAACATCAAACTCTAAAAATACGATGAGGAACTTACAGGCGGACCTTCAGGTAGTGGTACGGTGAGGCGTTTTTCAACACGACCCGTTGGTAGACAGACGCTTCTTCCTTCTCCTCCACCTGTTTCATTCTATCAGAGCATCAGTGGCTCAGCCTCTGTCTGATGAAGAGCAGCAGGTGGATCAGCTGACTATAAAAAAAAAAATCAAAACAGTGGCGCTTACAGAGAGTCTCTTCGTCATGTCTGCATTTTATCGTTAGCCAATAAATACCTGTACTAAAGCAGGAACTGTGTGCGTTACACTTTATTTTCCACAAGCTTGTGAGGGCCTGTCAGTGTGCACTATCAAAGACTTGTAGCAGCAGGTGTTTAAAGCATTTTGTAAGTATTTTAGTTACGGGCTGGACCTTTGGCATTTACACAAAAGCAAACAACAAAGACAAACAGGAACACCTCAGAGCAAACCTGATAAGCTCTAAAATATTACGTTTTGGGAAGCCCAGAGATCTGACAGTGAAACGTCAATAAAAACACGAGGAAAACTCTGTACAGCCTTTAAAACCCGAAGCTGAAAGCGGCTAACCCTGGACAAGGTGAACCCGTTAGCTTCAGCTAAGTTATTGTAGCTGCTAGCTGATTCTCTGTTATCGACTCCGCACACAGAAATGAAAGTTTTTAATTTGTTCTGAAGTTTAATAAAAGCAGAAGCACTTCACTCACCAGCTGCTAAAACGTGGAGGACACACAGCGTGCCGAGAAGTCCGCAGTCCCAGAGAAACGTCTTTCACCAAGGGGGAAGGGGACCCCAGCAGCGCATGCGCAACCAGCTTTTGCAAAGACGCGTAAAACTGCAAGATGGATCACTCTTCGCCACGAGACGGCTTATTTTGTCTTGTACGTTGAAAACCGGATATGGAAGCTTGTTTCTGCCACTGCCACAAAAAACAAACAACAGTACTAACTCTGACAAAATAATTTAAAATTAATTTGTGAGTTTTTGAGTTACTGAATCAACATTTTGAGGTAATAATCCAAATGTTTTTTCTAATGGCTGACATTTTTCTCTATGGAAATAAAAATTAATTATTCATTTATTTTATTTTTTTAATTTCAGGTTTTATTTGACAGGACTTGATTCGTCGCCCTCACAATGTCAAAATAACATTTACAACTTGTGTAACCCTAACCCTAACCTTTCAGTGGTGCTATTAAATAGCATATAGCATATTAAACTTCACAGCTTGAGCTTACATCATTCATCTTCTTCGACACACATCCTGCTTTGATCTTGAGTGGGCCAGACCAGTGAAACTCCTCCTGCTGTCAGTGTAAAAAGAAGTTTAACTACATATTCAGTCCCAGCTGAACTGCTACTTTACTGCAATACATTGCGCAAAGTAGTTCTCTCTACTTTTTTCATCTTATCTTTTTTAATCATGTTACTTTTAGTATTTTAATCACGTTTCATCTCTTCAAACACATTTCATTGTAATGCTGACCCTGTACTAACAACATGTGACAAATAAATCTGAATTGCAGGGCCTCATGGGCAGTGACTACTTCCTGTGCATCTTGAATAAATTACTTGATGTGTTATGTCTTCCAAAATGACAGGATTTTTCAACCAACAATCTTAAACACACAAAATCTTTTAATTCCACCATTTTTTTAACTTTATATATTAAAGTTAATAGCTAAAGGTTACAAATCACATATTAATCAACAGTAAATGTTTCATTGTAAATTCAGTCTGATGTGTTTTTGTGATGTTAATTATGCAGTCAGTCCACTGCATAGTTCACAAACAGCTGTAAACAGAAGACTACAATGCAGTTTTCTGAAAGTGAAACATGAAAACGAGGATTGATACCATGACATTAAACTCTAAAGATTATGGATATCAGCCGCCTGCAGGGCAGTGAGTAAAAGTCATACAGATGAAAACATCAGGAATATCTTAAAGTAAAGTAATACTTTTGTGCGTTTGTTCAGTTTTTTTTACAGACATAAACGTTGATGTAGAAATCTCATCATACTTCTCCTCTCCTTCATCATCATGAGGTCAGGGGTCGGCGTACAGTTCAAAGGTTTTTCTTCAAGAAACTTTCTTTACGTTGCCATCGCTGACTGCCTGCTCAGACAGGAAGTCCGTGATGAGTTTGGCGGCCTTTCTCGGTCGCTCAAGAGCCACAGAGTGACCACAGCTGTCCAACACCGTCACCTGGCAGTGAGGCAGCGCCCCCTGCAGCACAGCGGCGCCCGAAACGTCCAGCACCTGAGAGTTCAGACAAGTGTGTTACAGCTCTGTGTGACGCTGCAGCACGGCTTTACTGACACACTGAAATATCCCAACACCACATGACGGAGATTTACAGATTTACAGATATTCATGCTCTGTTGTCAATTCGTATAGACTTCCAAATGAAAATGAACTTCGAACTTTACAGCATTAAAAGGCACATTTACAGCCTGGTAGAAATTGTTTTTTATTTCAACAGTACAATCTAATTTTTTTTCTATCTTATTAATATGGATACAGTTAAAGTTTAAACTTCTCTCAACAGTGATTCAATAATTTAAATATGAAGGACGTAGTGAGCACAAGTAGATGAGGAGGGCCACTTGGCAGTTCTGATGACCGGCACCCCTAATTTTTATTTTTATTTTTTTAAAGAAGCAGTACATACCCGCAAAGGGCGGAAAATTGGGGCTGAGACATCGTTTTCTAATTATCATCACTGCTGTGGGGTTGTGAATTTACCTGGTCTTCCTTCCCCCAGATAACCTGCAGGGGCACTGTGATCAGATGCATGTTTTCTTGTAGCGAGTGGCGAGACTTCTCCCCAACAATCTCCATGAACACTACACACACACACACACACACACACACACACACACACACACACACACACACACACACACACACACAGGGGCAATGAGTTACTAAAGGGAAAATGATTACTGCAGAGTAGAAGTAGACACAATCTGCTTTTCTCCCTGCTTCACTGTCTTTATACAAGTGAGTCATATCAAAAGTGCTTTCCTTCACTAATTAATTTATCTGAAATGTCAAATAGAAAATAATGAAAAAAGGCAGGAGGCAAAGGGTCAGATCAAATCCCTCAGTAATCTGTGACTGTCGATGGAGCACTGCTTGAACTCAATTCACTTCAATATATATAGCACCAAATCACAACAGCCGTCGCTTCAAGGTGCTTTATATTGTAAGGTAGAGACCCTACATTATTACAGAGATGCAAGCATCTCTGCAAGCAACCCAGTAATCATATGACCACCTTTGAGCAACGACTTGGTGATGGTGGGAAGGAAAAACTCCCTTTTAACAGGAAAAAAAACGCCAGCAGAACCAGGCTCAGGGAAGTGCGGCCGTCTGCTGTGACCGGTTGGGGATGAGGGGAGGAGGACAGGACAAAGAGAAGAAAAGAGCAGGTGATGGTGAGCGGACTGACCTTCTTTGTAGAAATCATTGTTTGGGATCCTGTTGGCAAGGAGACCGCTCAGCACCTAACAACACACATGCACACAAATGCAAATAAATAAAAAGAAAGAAAGAAAAGCAACAGCAGTACTGGCAGTGTGACTGAGAGCAGGTATATTGTTACAAGCCTTAAATGCAAAGTGACCCAGAAGTGTCTGTGTGATGGTTGAATTCTGTAAATACTAAAGCAAGCTGGAACATCTTTTGTGGAAAGAAAGGAGGTTCAGAGGAACAAAATATCATACTCTCTAGGATGCTACTCTCTGCATTCATATGCGCCTTTTGTAAAGTTATGATGTCTTTTGTGAAGCACTTTGCAATGTGGGTTTATGAAAATGCTCCATAATTAAAGATATTCCCATATCAATGATAAAAGTGAAGTAAGGGTTGCATTATAACTCAGTTCATTGCAGATCTTTCTGTGTGCAGTCTGCATGTTTTTCCTGTCCTGCTTTTCCAGCTTCCTCTAGCAGTCCAAAGATATGCATGTGAGGTTAAGTGATTCTAAACTGGCTGTAGATGTGAGGTAGATAAAATGCTTAAAGTGCAAAGAATAAAGAATAAAATAAAGCAGATGACAGTCTGCAGGATGAATTTGGAAGAGGAAGCTATTAAAAATAAGACAGCTACTGAGAACAGGGTGAAGTATTGTAGTTAAACTTTGGTCAATTTTAGCTTCACCACAGCAAACCGTAAAACCCACAGTCACATTGTTTAAATACTTCAATGTGATTTCTCCTAATTCCTTACAAATTCTCCTTCACATCTTTCCTTGTCTTAATGACGTGCTGATACAATGAATCATGCGGATAAGGAAACTTGTGAAGTCATTTCTACTGTGCCCATGCAGCTCAGCCCTGTACCTGTCGGGGGAGTTTTGGGGGGGTGTTACAACAGAGTCTCAGCATGTCCTCGAGTTCCTGAATGGTGGTGGGGACGAGCGGGATCGACTCATCCTTCTCACCCATCTCCAGCTCCCTCAGGCGACTGATGAACTCCGAGTCCGTCGGGTAAACCAGGCCTGTTTGGGAGAGAAGATGAGGAAGAGGAATTATGCAAACCTGATCATCATCAGCAAATGTAAGGTACGTCTGCTGAGTTTACCTGCCGGGCAAACCAAGGTGACACTGGATAGGTGGGTGGGGTAAGTGGCAGCGTACACCCCTGCGACGTTGCCACCCATTGACGTGCCGACCAGGTGGAAGGGTCTTTTATCGAGACCGATACTCTGCACAAACTACACAGGAAGAAAAACAGAGAGGTGAGTTTTGAAACAGGACAGTAGCTCAGTGCTTCTGCTGTGGTCCAAACCTGGAAGCCTTGCTTTGATTACAAGAATAACCTCCCCCTGAAAGATATCCCAGTGGTTTTTCCAAACTTATAATTATTAGAAAGTGTGCAAGTGTCACACACACACACAAATTTGTACAGACCTGGTGGATTCGTTCAACCTGACCGCGGATGCTGTAATCCTCTGGACCGGTGCGACTTGTCCCCTCGTGTCCCGGCATGTCCACACACACCACATGTTGGTTTCTAGGGAGGAACTGGAGGAGAAAGCAAACACTAGTGATGGTAAATTTGATTCTTTTTACTGAATCGAGTTTTAATGAGTCACTCACCAAAGTGAATCGGATTTTGTGACTCATTTGATTCACTGAGTCAGTTGACCAGAGAGTGCAAAAAATTTACATTTTCACTCAAACTTAATTTGTTTAAGTTTGAGTGGGGGCGGTAATGTGCCTTAACATTGGTTGCCAACCAAGAAGAAGAAGAAGCTGTGAGCCAGGAGGGGGTGAGTGAGTGAGTGAGTGATTCGTTCGCTCGCTCTATGATTCAGCACAGGAGGGAGGGGGTTAGTGAGTCCTGAGTGATTCGCTTACGCTTACGATTCAACACAGGAAGGGAGGGGGTGAGTAGCTCAAATGTGCTGTTAGCATGTTAGCAGAGCGATGCTACTGTGAACTGAGGAGCTATTTTCTTGATGTGAGCTTCTACTCACATCTACTTTTTCTTCCAGTTCAGAGCAGAAATGCTTTTGTTAAGAAACTGGCTGTTGTTTTTTCCCCCCCACAATTTTAATTATAAGCTAGATATATTTCTACTAAGCGAATTAGTTTGCTAACAGAAACAGGGATGAGTCAGTGAGTCAGTTGGGCTTGTGAATCATGATTCATGAGTCAGTAAAGTGATTCTCGAGTATTGAACGATTCGTTCACGAATCGAACATCACTAGCAAACACACCAGAGGCTCACTTACATACACTTCATGACAGAAAGGCTGGAGAATCACCAGTCAAATCTGACAAAATCTGCTTCAACAGTTATAGATTTTTGCTCAAAGGTGA